AAGTAATAATACATTGACGTATCAGTGTACGATTACAATTCATAATGATGAAAAGTAATATACATTGACGTATCAGTTATATGATTACAATTCATAATGATGAAAAGTAATAATACATTGACGTATCAGTTATATGATTACAATTCATAATGATGAAAAGTAATAATACATGACGTATCAGTTATATTATTACAATTCATAATGATGAAAAGTAATAATTCATCGACGTATCAGTTGTATGATTACAATTCATAATGATGAAAAGTAATAATACATCGACGTATCAGTTGTATGATTACAATTCATAATGATGAAAAGTAATAATACATTGACGTATCAGTTGTATGATTACAATTCATAATGATGAAAAGTAATAATACATTGACGTATCAGTTGTATGATTACAATTCATAATGATGAAAAGTAATAATACATTGACGTATCAGTTGTATGATTACAATTCATATATGAGTACAATTCATAATGATGAAAAGTAATAATACATTGACGTATCAGTTATATGATTACAATTCATAATGATGAAAAGTAATAATACATCGACGTATCAGTTATATGATTACAATTCATAATGATGAAAAGTAATAATACATTGACGTATCAGTTGTATGATTACAATTCATAATGATGAAAAGTAATAATACATTGACGTATCAGTTGTATGATTACAATTCAATGTGCATAAATATTTGTTTACGTCATCACACGTTGATTGTTACAAGTGGATGGAAAGTCGTACTCACGCCCTCTTGCGGCGGCTGCTAACTGCACTGTCCTTCACGAGAAAAATACTTGTATACTTGCGACCCCCGGACGGGGGGGGGGTGTACATAGAACTTGCCTAATGGGGACGTGCCCCTGAAATGGGTCTCGTTATTTGGATTTTAAGTATAAGTATCGGTCTTATTTCTGCTCAAGATCGGTAAAATTTTTCCGATTTGGTATACTTATGTATATAGTCAAAATACATATTTTATTAAATCAATATACAATGCAACTGTTGGCTTACATGTGCTTCTATTGGAGATGCTCTTCTAATACAGCAAATACGGTAACTGTTTTATTTGGAATAAACAGTGATGACAGAAATGGTACTTTGGTATATATGGATATAGATTTTGCCACTATCCAGGTATAAAAATCATGATGGTCACACTTTTGAGCACTCAGGGGCAGCTCCCTGCCCAGCTATGTATCAACTGCCCCCACTTTAAAGTCAATGTTCAAATGATGTACGGCTATGTGTGTCTGTAGTCGTAATATTCAAATAAAACACACAATAGGGAAAGTGTATCACCTTTTGATAAATTAGCGCACATTTAAAGTGTACTGTAAACATGTGCCATGATCCCAGCAAATGTAACATGTGCTACTCATGTTAGCGTGTACTATCTGGGATATTTTTGCCATTTATCAGCGATAATTTCCATGTTTTTGAACTTTAGTGACTACTGCCTGCACGTAACATGATCGAGAAATGTTCGCCGTCTCTCAAGAAAGTACCAGGATGAGTAAACTTTAAGGGTCATGACGATTGCGCATCATCGTGGTGGAATATCAAATTGGTTTTGTGTACGTGCTGGATTGAATATTAGTGAGCAAAAAATAACAGAAAATAATAAACTTGTTTTTTATATGACAATTATATAGAATTTTAAACAAATATGTATAACAATAATATAAGGACAA